AACCACAATATTTTACACATAACAGATGCTCAATAAATAAAGATGGAATTTCATATTCAACAATGGAAAAGCATCTTATGGATTATTTTTCCCCTCTTTTATTATCCAGTCTTAGAAAAAATATGTAATTACACCTCTTGTTGTGGGAAGACTTACCACATAAAAAAGAAAAGATAGAAGGTTCGTCTCCTCTCAAACTTAAATTTAAAAAATGGATATTCAGGAATCAAAGTTTATAATTTGGCTTTTTCAAAATTTATTCAACAAATATTTGTTAGAATTTACTTATGTGTCAGGAACTGTTCTAAGCACTGAGGGATATAGCACTGAAAAAAACAGACAAAATCCCTACCCTAAAAGCTTATATAAGAGAAAAGAGACAATAAACATAATAAATAAATTATATAGCATTTTAGAAGGTGGTAAATGCTATAGGGGAAAAAAAAATACAGCCAAGTAATTAGATTGGAAGTTCTGAATGGAGATACAGGGAGGGGTTGCAATTTTGAATAAGTTGGTCAGAGTAGGGCTTATTGAGCGGGTGATATGCAACCAAAGAGTTAAAGGAGGTGAGAAAGTGAGTCATGCAAATATCTGAGGGAAAAGCCAAGGCTAAGATCTTGAGGCAGGAACATGCCTGATGTGCTTAAAACAGTGACAAAGCCATATCCAAGTAGAGGTGTATAATGGACAGATGGATATATGAGTCTAGAGAAGAGAGATGTGTAGGCTTAAGATAAAAAATTAAGATCATCAGCTTTAGAGGGTATTTGAAGTCATAAGACTGGATGAGATTCCTAAAGAAGTGAGGTCCACGGACTGAACTCTGTAGCACTCCCCTGTTGAGATTTGGAGAGTAGAAGAGAAATCTGCAAAGATGACTCAGAAGGAACTGCCAGAGAGACAGGAAGAAAACTAAGACAGCACAGTGTCATGGAAGCCAAGTGAAGAAAGTGGTTCTAGGAGAAGGAATGAGCGATCAACTGCATTAAATGCCACTAACAGATTAAGACAAGAAGTGAGAACTGACAACTGAATTTAGCAATGTGGAGGTCACCAGTGAGCTTAACAAGAGCAATTTTCACAAGGTGATATAGGTCAGAGTATGAATGAAGTAGGTTTAAGACAGAATGAAAGGAGAAGAATTAGAGACAGTGAGTTTAGAAGTTTCCAGAATTTTTGCTGGTAAGGGAAGCAAAGAAAGGGGTGGTAACTGGTGGTAGGAGTGAGATTAATGCAGGCTCATTTTTTCTTTTAAGATGGGAGAAATAATAGCATGATGATGGGAACGATCTAGTAGAGAGCAGAGAGTTGAAGATGTAAAAGAGGTAAGGGAGAACTGCTATCGACACATCCTTGAATAGGCCAGAATGGGCACAAGGGGAGGGGCTGACAGTTGGATTGCAGGCAATCAAACCACAGTGAAAAGAGGGAAATCAGAGTATAAGGAAATAGTTGCTGGTGGATGGGTAGACATGGTAAAAGAGTTCTCTTTTGAGTGGCTGAATTTTCTCAGTGAAATAAGCAGCAAAGTAATCAGCTGTAAGTGAGGGTAATGGACAAGGAATTATAATAGAAGAGGAAGCATGAAAAAATCATCTTAGAAATCATCCTGGATTGTGCTACTCCAAGTGTGGTGCAAGGTCCTGTGCTGTTCTGCAAACTGTTAACGGTCCACAATAAACAATTTAGCAACACAGAAATTGAGAATTGTGCCTGGTGTGATCAGTGGATTCATCTCATTGTACAGCACACTCTCCATGAACATGTACAATTTTTGTAATTCTATTCCTTATTTTCCTGTTATGATTATTATTGAACTGTAATTTCATTTTTGTTCAATCTAATAAAAAATTTGGACTTAGACTTGTCTTTTTAAAACTCCATTTTTCTTCACAATTCATATTATTGTATTTTATTGTTCATGATGAGGTAGGGAAAAACTTGGTCCTTTACCACGCATAGACTGAGAAGCACTAGTCCAGTAGAGTTGGAAAGTAACTGGACTAGGAAATGTTTTGTGATTGCCAAGCAGCATTAGAGGCTCACATGAGATTTGTAGCCATTAGTTTAAAGACTGTCAGCAGGGTGGAGTGATTTTCTCCAGACACATTGTGCTGCATGGAAGCAGGGCAGGATAGATGAGGAGCAGGATTTAACTGACCTATCACATTGCCAAGCAAGTATGATGATGCAAAAAAAGGGCAAGGAAATAGTATGCAAAGATGAAAATGACTGACCATGGAATGCAAGCTGGGAGAAGAGGGAAGAGAGGATATCAGAGGTATGAGGGGCAGAAAAGGTGATAAGATCAATGGCCCATAGGTCCCAAAGGATTGAAAAATTGTTGGAAAAAGGGATGAGCTAGAAAGATATGAGGTCAGACAGTAAGATGCACACAATTGAGAATATTGAGAAGTTGTAGGAATGAGGCAGGGTAGAGGAAAAGATTCTTGGAGGAGAGGAGTTCAAGGAACTTAGAGTCAGTGTGTTGAAAGAATCATCTCTGCAGATATTGGAATCCTCACAAGTTAAGACTGGAGTAGGGCTGGAAATAATGATAATGAGCCAGAAGCTAAAATCAACAAGAAATGACGGGGGCCGGGGGTGGGACTGGAAGATGACTACAACATGGGACTCAGAGTCTGGGCTTTATAGGGAAAATGAGGGAGAAGAGACAGGAAGCAGCCATGAAAGGAGAAAGATGCCTACTACAGGCAGCATGGTATGAAGGCTGTGGGAAAAAAACAGCCATCACTTGACAGGACTTCACAGATGACAGTGTCCTCAGGAAAGCTACAGGTTCTCACGAGACCAAGAAGTTAAGGAACTGCTTCAGAAAAGGGGTGGGTTGGTTGGGTTGGTTGATGATGGACTGTGAGTTGCAGAGGGCAAAGGGTTTCAGGAGGTGGGAAAGGATGAGTGGAAGGAGAGACAGAAAAGAGGATATACAGAGCGATATGTAGACGAGAAAATGAGGGGTTCCCCAGATGTCTAGGGCTACTCTTGATGGCTGGCATAAAAAGCGATAAAGTACATAAGAAATTGTTTTAGAAATCATTCATCATGGACAGTTATTTTATGGGACTAAAGGGAGCCCAAGCCTGGATTACTCAATTGATCAGTAATATTTAATCCGTGTATTATATCTTGGTTCTAGATAAGGAATGCTCTTGACCTTATGCTATCTATCTTTAGGCTGTTTAATTTCTTACATTAGGTAAGGGCAAAAAGATGGCAGATGATATGTTCATATCACTCCTTATTAACAGCTCTGATAAAAGACTGCTGACAGAGTCGATTGGTTTAAATGTGCATGTTAAATTATCTGTCTATTCAAATTGGATAATTAGAAATATTCTACACTAATATTCACTCTACCAATTTTTATTATGTATCTACTTAATAGAAACAAAGCAACATGTACTATACTGTTCCAGAAAGGGCTCACCTTTATTGAATTATTTTAATAAAATTAAGTTTAATTATATTACAATACTGGAAAAGGGTCATGGGTAGGGAGATGGTAACAAAAGTAAGGGACATTTTTCAATGGTTGGAGAAAAAGAATAACGAAGTTCATAGAGGGCACATTAGCCAGGCCCTTGCAAGTAAGAATTGCCTATGAAAATAAAAGAAGAAACTGAAATTGCTTTATTGCTATGACCTTGCCTTTACGATGTTAAAGAATGGTGAGTAAGAGAAGAGATGCAAAAGAAAAGGGACAGAGGGGGAGGAGAGAGAGAAGAGAAAAGGGAGGTAGAGATCCACAGACTAGAATTAAGAAATGTGTTTTCTGCGCACTGCTTCCTCTGAACTAACTTTTCCAGAGGGATGGCTTATGAAATTGATATTCTACCTACAGCTTTCTAGTTATTTATATAAATTTTTGGCAATTAATCTTTCTCCTTCATTGAATGAGATCTCTTCTTCTCCTTCCCTCCCATTATCCCTCTTCTTGTCAAGATCATACTAATTTTTTTATGTTGTGGAGTAGGATGGTTTTTTGGCCTTACCAAGTCAACTATCCAATACATCACCAATAAGCAAATGAATTATTTGGATGTGGAAGGATTTGTACACTGTAATAGTCTGAGGAGTAAAGTAGTAATAGTATATGATAAGTTCAAGGGTTTTTTCACTTAGAGGGACAGAAAGTTTACCTAGAACTAGATGTCTGTACTAATTACATTCTGTCTGCCTCTCCAGATCTACTCTCTGCCCTTCTCTCCCTTGCTGTGCTTCAGGAAACAAATCTCTACAGAACACATCAAAAGCAATCTTTTCCTTTGGCTTCAAGTTAGGTTTGGCCAGTAGGTAACACTGGCAAGAAATCAGAAAGCAGGAAAGAGACCTGGTGTGTCTGTTCTCCCTTGCTTCCTCCCTGCTGGCCATTTTTGTTTTGGTAGAGGCTGTGTTCTTTTGTGTATAGCCATAGCAACTGTTATGCAGTCCTTTCATGCAACTACAGTTCTCTGGGTTCCAGAAACATTGCTCCCTTCCCTTGCCCTGAAGGTCTAGGGTGACAACCGCTTTCTGCTGTTGCCAGTTCATGGGTACTTTATCCCCCTCTGATGGGTCCCCTATGCTGCCCATGCCTCTGTATAGTCCCTTCGTTAAACCTCTTTCAATTAATCTGCTGACTGTGCTATTTGTTACTTGCGAGGAGCTAGACTGATATAATTTCCAAAAGCCTCTCTGGACCACTTTCAGGGCCAGGTCTACACAATCCAACCCATTCTCATTCCAGATTACTCAACTCAATATCTCTTTCACTATTCCTTAGTGAAAATCCAGCCCTGTCTTGTTGACGTCACGCCTTTGCGGCAATCACGTATCATCATGATGACATCAGCAGCCCCTTAGACCCACTTAGAGTGTATCCTTCATAAAGTCTCCATTTTCATAAATGCAACTCATCAAGATGCAAATAAAAACTAGATTACTTCAGGAATTTGGTCAGAAAAGGGAAGTAGCTTTTCTCATAATATCCACCTCACCTCCTTTTCCTTGTTGAGCAACACCAGCTGGCTGTCTGTGAGAATGCAGTATTTCCGCTCCCATGTTGTTGTGTCGGTGTAGGGTGACTGGCCACAAGACAGACGATGGGTAGGTGGCCCTTTCACATCTGTGTGACAAACACAAAAAACAAAAGTGACAAATCATTGTCATGTTTGGTAAACTTGTAGTTCAAATGTAAGATTCTTCAAAATCAAAGTAAGGAGGTCTAAACATAAATCTAAATGGTAAACTGAAAACTTAAATTCCTCTAAAGAAAATAAAAAGTTATATACAGAGGGAAAATTTTGCCCCATAGTCTGCAGAAAAGAGGGCTGAGACACTAGGAAGAATTGTTAGTACAACTTGACACAGTAATCACCACTGTGCATGCACTAAAATAATGGGAGGTCACTTCAGAGCAAAACTAGTATCATTCAAAAGAAAGAGGTGGGCGTGACTCAGAGACAAGAACAAAAGATAGACAGTCTTTAGGAAGAAGATGATATTGCATGTACACTCAAGAGTGCTGCTGATCCAGTACTGAAGAAGTGAGTTATTTGCAGCCTATGTCTTCAAAATAACTTTATTTCTAGTCAGTTGTAAGATTTAGAAATGGTTAAACTACAGCATCATATTACCACTAGAGGCCAGTAAGATCTTAAAAACAGAAGGCAATTTCCTCAAGGAAAGATCTAAACATATTACCATCATGTCTCTTAAAGGTGGAGGCACACAATATCAAAGTTAAATGTTTCAACTCTTCTAAACGTCTCATTTCCTGTTACTTTAGTTTTTTTTCTTTTATTAAGGTATAATTGACGTGTAACATTATACTAGTTTCAAGTGTACAATGTAATGATTCAATATTTGTATACACTGCAAAATCATGACCCCAATAAGTCTAATTACCATCTGTCACCATAAAAAGTTACCAAAAAATTTTTTTTTCTTCTGATGAGAACTTTCTAAGATTTATTCTCTTGGTAACTTTCAAATATACACTACAATATTATAATCACCATGCTACAGTTGACATCCCCATGACTTTAAAGTGGAAATTTGTACCTCTTGAAACCTTTCACCCCCTCACCCACCCCTGCTTCCTCTTGGAAATCACCATTCTGTTCTCTGAATCTCTGAGTTTTGTTTTGTTTGTTTGTTTTGGTTTTTAGATTCCACATATAAGTGAGGTCATACAGTATTAGTTTTCCTCTGTCTGACTTATTTCATTTAGCATAATACCCTCAAGGTCCATCCATGTTGTCGTAAATGACAAGATTTCATCTCTTTCAATGGCTGAGTAGTATTCTATTTATCCACCAATGGACACTTAGGTTGTTTCCATATCTTGGCTACTGTAGGTATCTTTTCCAATTAGTGTTTTCATGTTCTTTGGATAAACACCCAGAAATGAAATTGTTGGATTGAATGGTAGTTCCATTTTAATTTCTTGAGGAACCTCTATGCTGTTTTCCATAGTGGCTGCACCAATTTACATTCCCACCAACAGTGCACGAGGCTTCCCTTTTCTCCACATCCTTGCCAACACTTGCTATTTCTTGTCTTTTTGATAATAGCCATTCTAACAGGTGTGAGTGATATCTCATTGTGGTTTTGATTTGCATTTCCCTGATGATTAGGGAAGTTCAACACCTTATTATATACTTGTTGTCCATCTATATGTTTTCTTTGGAAAAATGTCTATTCAGATGCTCTGCCCACTTTTTAATCAGACTGTTTTGGGTGTTTGTTTGTTTTGCTGAGCTGTATGAGTTCTTCATATATTTTGGATATTAACTCCTTATCAGATATATGATTTGCAAATATTTTCTCCAATTCAGAAGGCTGCCATTTCATCTTGTTGATGGTTTCCTTTGCTGTACAGAAGCTTTTTAGTTTGATATAGTCCTACTTGTTTATTTTTGCTTTTTTTACCTTTGCTTTAGGGGTCAGATCCAAAAAATCACTTAAAAACTCTTTTATATGAACTGTTTGTTCATCTGGGCTGTTGAAAAACTTGGAACATATTTTAACCATAAGTACACATTAGATCCATTGAGTAAGGCTTTTATGACAGTTCAGTATATAGTAAAAGTTCTTTAGCCATGAAGGACTACTTCCTCTCAGGAATATACTGCAGGAAACAGTAAAATACATTACTTATTACAATTAATTATTACACTAGAGGAGCACCTCAAACTGAAGAAATTAGAAAACAAACACCCATGAGCGCAGGAGAGTTGTAAATAATAAATAAGCACTTTTTGCCTATTAGGTGAGAATCTTCATTACTATTACTTTCTAAGGACTTTTAGTCTTTTTATCACAGGATGATAGGTATTCCTGGTATTGACTAACTTCAAGGAAATTCAAATGATTTCCTAGATGTTTTTATGCTATAATTATTCAAATATGCATACCTATAGCTGGAGATCTGTAGAAAGTAAAGAAGTTAGTACTTAGGGCATTAGGTATATGTCTCTTTTCTAGCATCCCCTTATGTGCCCAATATTATCTTCAGTGCTCCTTCTGGCTTAACTTCTTTGCTCTCTAAAAGTCTATCTAAACTTGTTGCTCTGCACGCTTGGGGAACTTATCAACTACCCTCCAAAATAACTCAAAATTCAAGAACTAATAACATTACCAGGGCTTGGCTTGACATGTTACTAATTCTTAGAAGTTCACTGTTTTTCCTTTTTCCCCTTGTTTTTCCACTTCTATCTCCTCTGAACCTTGCACAACCAGTACATGCTGCATCGATAGCTTCTCCATTCTATGCCAACTCTCTCTTCACGCGGGCCTCTCACTGTTGCGGCCTCTCCTGTTGCGGAGCACAGGCTCTGGACGCACAGGCTCAGCGGCCATAGCTCACGGGCCCAGCCGCGGAGGGACCTTCCCAGACCGGGTCACGAACCCGTGTCCCCTGCATCGGCAGACAGACTGCCAACCACTGTGCCACCAGGGAAGCCCCCTTAACTCTTTTATTTCAAGCATTTAAATTAATTTAAAGTTTTCTTTATACTTCAAATTTTCCTAAAATGATCACAAAAAGCTTTAAAGGAACTACTCAATCATTTTTGACACAGATAAAAGATTCTCGCCTGAACTTAAAAGCCATGTCAAACCTGATTTTCTTCACATGATTTGGATAAACAAATGGGTTAGATTTTTACCACAATGTAGGCCTATTTTTAGAGTTAAATACCAAGACCACTTCAACAGAGAGGGATGCACCTACTTTATGTAGAAATGTGGTGGTTTTGTGGCCTAGACAAGTTTTCATTCAAATGACTAACCTTCTTATGTAAGTTGGCCGTGGTGACCTAAACTGCCCCCTGCAATTTAATCTGAAGAGTAATCTTAGGATCCACACTGAGCAAGAAGACATTGACAAACTCTGTCCATAAAATTAGAATATAGGAAACTATTACAGCAGGAAACCCAGTTTTCCTGACAAAATATAAATCTGCATCAGCACTGAATTTAAGAAAACCTAAATTATCTTCCCTGTGTCATCCTGAGTTAATTCTCTTACAGTCTCCCTTAATGCTCTCCCCTTCTCCAACTGGAGCTTTGTTCCTAGTTTCTTCATGGTATTGTGAAACAAGACAATGTCTCATAAAGCATATTGGGGACCCCAAGTTACTCCTCTCCAGGGCTAAAGGTAGAATGAAATAGGGAGCAATACTTCTATATTTTACATTTTTCTGTCAGTCTAAATTATGAGGTTGATTAGCCACGTTATAAATTTTATAGTTTCACATTTTTTTCTACTCTCTATTATCCATATTTTGATCATTTTATAAGAGTGCATAAAAGGAAGAAAACAAGAAAGAAGTTAGAATAAGTAGGATTTTTTGGTTCTTTTTAGCATTTCTGGATTAAGGTTTGAAGGGCACTTTAAGTAACAATTTAAATAAATTTTTTTAAACCTATAATTTATTCATTCTATCTTGTCCTCATTATCATGGCTAAATGAAGGTTTAATAGTACACTTGTAAAGCCTGTTTACTGAGACTATATTAACAGGACAAACTCAGATTATTGCCTTATTTCACTTTACCAATTCTACCAGTCCTCCCCTCCCTCCCTCCTTTCCTCCCTCCCACCCTCTTTCTCTCCTGCTCTGGTGACACACTTCTAATTTCTGACTTGCAATTACATTTAGTATCTAAAATTCACTACAGAATATGATAACTACCTTAGAATTACAAATAAGAATCTTAATAGCAAAACTGGAAAAAAATTTTATATTTGCGCTGTCCCATTCCTATAAGGATACTAAGGATATTGGATGCTGGCCTTATTACAAAAATTGAATAATTTTAGAAACATTAAAAAGAATCAGCGGTTACTCAATGAATCCCATTGGAGAGTGCTTCTTTGAGACTGGATATTACCATGTAGACTAGTAATTATCAAAATTTTTTGATCTCATGATCCCTTTAGACTTTTAAAATTGAGATTTTGTTTCTCTTTGTTTTCAAAGAGATTTTGTTTATGTGGGTTATATTTATCAATATTTACCATATTAGAAATTAAAACTGAGAAATTTTTCTTTTTTTTTTTGCAGTACGCGGGCCTCTCACCGCTGTGGCCTCTCCTGTTGCAGAGCACAGGCTCCGGACGCGCAGGCTCAGCAGCCATGGCTCACGGGCCTAGCCACTCCGCAGCATGTGGGATCCTCCCAGACCGGGGCACGAACTTGTGTCCCCTGCATTAGCAGGCGGACTCTCAACCACTGCGCCACCAGGGAAGCCCCAGAAATTTTTAAAATATTTATTCATTTAACAACAATAACAAACCTACGCATGTTAACATAAATAACACATTTTTGATGAAATGCAACTATTTTCCAAACAAAACAAAATAATTAGTGAGAGGAGTGACACTGAAGTTTTGCAAATCTCTTTAAAATCTGGCTGAATAGAAGACAGCTGGGTTCTTGTATCTGTTTCAACTTTTAATCTCTTGCTTTATGTTGTTTTGGTTGAAGTATAAGTAGAAAATCTAGACTCACACAGATATATAGTTGGAAAAGGGAAGAGTATTTTTTTTAAATTTATTTATTTTTGGCTGTGTTGGGTCTTCGTTTCTGTGCATGGGCTTTCTCTAGTTGCGGCAATC